TAGGTCATTGCAAAAGTGCTTCATGCCTTCCTCCAAAATTGTATCCTCCTGCTCGTCCTTGTAGTGCCTGAGTTCTTCCAACCTTTGCAACGAAGACTCCTCAGTACTGGACTGGGACTCCCTCCCAGCATCTCCCGAGGATGTTGGCAGCTGGCAGGCTTAGTGGCAGCCTCTGCCTTTTTGATCCCATTGATGAGGATATCTCCACCTGTTCCACACGGTGGCCTGCACCCCGCCTGCTATGTGACTTGCTGCTGGGGTCACGGTCTCCATTCTTGCTGCCCAGGGTCGATGAGGGATTCTTACACTTGGTGACACACTGGCCCATGGTGCTGGTGGCCTGGCCTCTAGAGTGGCCCCCTCTGGATCAGATGCCCTCACTGCCCCTGGCCTATGTAAGTCAACATGCCATCAGCCAGAGGAGCCAGCCAACCTCACAGTGTGTACCCAGGACATAGGACCAGAGTCTGCACCCCCATCAGGGCAGCTCGGGCCCCAGATCCCCAGGCCCTGGGTTGAGCGGTGCTGGTGGTGGGCAGGCAGGGGCAGTAGGTAAGTTTTCTGAGCCCTACAGTTGACACACCACAGGCTCCCCTCACAGCCTCTTCTTCCAGAGGGCCCAGTCCAGACAAAGCGCAGATTTCCACTCCTCCCAGGCATCCCAACAGGGTTTTCACACTGCCATGCACCCCCAGCCTCAGCCAGCCAGGATCACGGACATGTGCACAGCCACGCACACAGCATTTATAGGGAGACCTCTGGAAGTGAGCCCAGGACCTTCCTGTGTAGTTTCAACATCGCAGAGCACTGCACTACCCCTGCACCACCACGGCTGGCCCTGGGAAGAGGGGCGGGAGGTATGTGCCTTCACCAGAGAAAGACAGAGAGACAGGGAGAGGGAGAAAGCACCCCACAATGGGGTATGGTCACATAGCAATCCCTTTTTCGATCTATTTCTCAATCCGGTCAGGATTTTGGGTGCACATGTGCATGCACTGGCATGTTTCTCAAGCTGCCTGGGCCAGGGCTCAAACCATACATTCAACCACGTGGAATCCGGCTCCCTCAATCACCAGCCTCCAACCTACTGGCTCTCTCTGCCCTACCAGTCTAGAAGATAGGATGCAACAGAAGAGCTGTGTGTCTTTCGTTATTTTCTCTACAACTCCCAAGACTGAGTGGTCTGTTTGCAGATAAGCCCATGGTTAAGGACTGTTCTCTTGTCTTTGTTTTCTTAAGTGTGTATGTTTTTGGCTCCAGATTTCCATCTTTGCTTCTACTTTAAAAAATGTGAAGAGGGGGAACCAGCAGTTAGCGTAATGGCTATGTCGCTGGACTCCCACATAGTCGACTGCGGTTCGTGTCCCGGACCCGGTGGCTTAAAAAACTCACGCCGGGCGCGTGTGCGTGCGTGCCCAAGATCCCGAGAGGAGAATGGAGGAGAAGGGATTGCGGCGTGACCATCCCCCCTGGGGGGTGATTTCTCGCTTTCTGTCTCTATGTCTCTCTCTGTCTGTCTGGCGAGCGCACGCGCCCTACAGTGAAAATCTCTCCAAAAAAAAAAAAAGTTAGCTATCACACTATGGAATCCAAATCTTGCACTCATGCCTCTTTGCGGCATTCCAGAAATACATAACATTGAACATCCCCAGGCTAACTGTGATATTAGCATCTCAAATTCAAAGTATGTAAAACTAATCTCTTGACAAACTTCCTCCTTATCCTGTATTTTCTGACTAATATCACTAGTTACCTTGTCTTGAAGGCAGACAACTCTTTTTTTTTCTCTTTCTTATAATCAATAACAAGCTCCTCTCCAAGTTACAGCTTAAATATTTCTTGACTCTGTCCTTCATTTTGCCTCATAATACTACTGCCCTGCTTCAATCTATAATACAATTTTGGCTGGATAAAAGCCAAAATTGAAATTAAGTGAGCCAAGGACATCAGTTCCCAAGAACTCCTAAGAACACTACAAGTAAACTGAAACCATTGCAAGTTTCCAAAGTTTCAGGCCTCTAAGCCATGTAGCCATTGTCATAACATGATTCCAACCTTGAACTCACTTGCTTTATTGTGCTGATTTCAGCTACAGCCACAAACGCCCCCTTGAACACCAAAAGGCACC